CTTTAATATTTTTTATGCTGTAATAGTGGTGATTCAGCAGCAAAAGAAACAATGGGTTCGAACGGTCGGAGAAATCTGTTTCAAATTTTGAAATGACTTTGGCGATTCTGATAAAAATGACAATTTTTCTTTGAACAATATTTTCAAATTGAATCACGTCGCTGGATGAAACGGGGGTTTGAACGGAACGTCCGGTTTGATGATGAATATTTTTTTGCCACATCCATTAACTCCGTATCTGTCGCTGCAGGGTTTGACAGCCCGGCTAAGCTGAGCACGAAACACAAGGCCTGATCGCTCTCGGGGAGTGAAATGAGATGAATCCGCTTTTTATCCACTAATTCCTGATAAAGAATACTCTTAATTTTTCGTTTCCCAGCACCAGATGGTTGTTCACCACCTGCAGTCTGAAATTAAAATCACTGTCAACCGCCAGCGCTTCATTCGATTGGACTAATTTGTCGAATAATTATTGAAAATTTTGCATCATATTTGCACCGTCATAATTAAAGTTAACGTGGTGAGTTGAATGCTGAGTGTTGATTTTGAACTGAATCCTATCATTTGCGCGAGCGATCTGATTTTCCCTTTCACTAAATCTATTTAATATATCCATAACGTTGAGATAAAACTCTGCAGGGTCTATGATTCCGTGGTTTATTGAAAAAGAGACGCTTTCTCTAATTGCACGCTGATTAAAAGCATCATTGGAAGAGGACGCAACATTAACGCTCCCTCCCCCTGTTGGCTAACATCGTATGATTGTTCTATTTGCCTCCGAATTTCATCTAAAGTAAGATGAGATGGCGTATCTGTATTTAATAGAATTTGTTCGGCCTCATCTGAAGGAGGAGGAGTTTGGCTAGAATTTGTTCTAAAATCTCATCATTTGAACAGAGCCGTGCAGAGACCTTTGAAGGGGCGGGTGCTCAAAGTTAAAAAAAGGGCACATATAGAGCAAAGTTTTTTAACAGATTCACGATCCAACAAGTTAAAAATTTCAGATAATGAGACCCTTGGTTTCAAACAACATAATGTAAACTAGGAAAAATATGTCATTAAGGTAACGTTATTTCATAAACAGTTGTTTTAGTTTTTAAAGCTGACTTATGTTACAACCATATTTTTGCCCCTGATCTGAATCCAAGTTGTTTGATTTTTGATTTTCTTCCAATACTGAATCCTGTTTTGATACCAGATGGTGATGCAATGCATTAAAAAGAAGTAAAAACTGGAGAAAGTCCCATAGTCATCATCACATACTGGTGATCTCTTTGGAGGGCAGTGGTGAGATGCAGCATTGGCTGTGCTCGGGAACTATTTGGTGGTTTTACCCCCAATCCAACCCCTTAAAGCTGAGTGTCAAGCAGGGAGGCATTGGGACCCATTTTTAAAGTCTTTGGTATGACCCAACCGGGAATCAAACCTGATCTCACAGTCCCAGGGAGGACACTACCACAAAGCCACTGAGCTGGTCCCAAATTGTCATTCTATCTGTATTTGTATTTGAAATTGACTAGAGACAGCTCATGTAAGAGGTGGTAAAATATGAATAAAATAAAATAAGTAAAATAAATGCAACCACAGGAAGTTATCCAGCATGATCTACAGCTGTGGTAGCTGAGATCTTTTCCTGTCTGTAGGAAATTCCTGATCCAATTCCATTATCTCACTCTGAACTTAACATTAAACATGAGAGCTCTGCTACCAACTTAACAACACTCTTTACAGCAGGCCACACACACACACACACACGCACTCACACACACACACACACACACACTATCCTTTCATACCATTTCCAGAATACTGCACATACTATGGCCATAACTTTGCTTCATGGTGCTGATCCAGAATATTTACCTCATTATTTATTTCTAGTGTTATAATAATAACATAATAGTCAACAATAAAAAAACATAATTAAGTAATAAAACATATAGAGTTATGCTCACATTCACTTTTACCATCTTCGTGGGCGGCAGAACATTTATGACATGTTTAACCCTCTTATTACCATAAATATAACATGTATTTTTTTTTCCTGGCTGTGAAATAGTACCAAAAAGTGCTAAATGTTTGTAACTCTGCTCTTTTTTTCAGAACAACCTCAGCTTTCAGTGTCTGGTTTGTATTTAGTATTTATGTTTATCCAAGTCTGTAAAAACAGTGCTTAAATGAAACAAAAAAAAAAGATTTGAATTCTTTACATTTATTACTAAATAGGAACCTCAAAAGGACTTGGTCAAACTATTTCAAATGAACAGTTTAAACTCTGAACATCATTACAGTCAGAAAACAGTGTGAACCCTGCCCCGTGTTTATCGGTTTAGACTTTTTTTATGTTTTAAATTTCTGACTGCAGCCTGTCTGTGACCACAGGTAGGTCTATGCTCTGGTTCAGAGAACGGCATGAAGTAAAATAAATATTAGGTAACATAAAAAAAACTCTCACACATCACAACTGTATGGAAATTTCTACCATTATTTCTATAATTATTGATAAGCCAGTTAAAAAGTAATAATAAAAGGTGAAATCTAAACATTTCATGGCAAAAAGTCAACTAATAAAATTCTGCCCAGATATAAAATTATTTTTTTCTGCTAAAAAATATTTATTGTACGTATAAATAATGCTGGAATTAAGCTGAATCTTACATTTAGTAAATAGTTGATAAAAGTTTGACAGTAATCAGCCCCTCATGTCACCAGAAACTTCTGGGACACCTGATTAAGGTGGATTTTCTCTTGAGACCTTTCCATAACTTTATAAAAGCTGCTTATGCAGATGATCAGTTATCTCCTCCGTTCCATTGTCCACTCTCCCGTCGCGGTTTGCTCCGTTTCCTGTGATGCTGAAAAGCTGGTTTCCCTCTAATAGCGATTTTCCTAATAAAATGAATTACATCATGTAATACGTCGTTGGAAAGCTCGTTTTATGTGCTTTTAGAAACCGTTGGAATTATTTTTATTCGATAATTTATTCAGAAGTTATCACGCGGAGAATCTCTAGTGTCCTCTTTTCTGTCTCAGACATGCTGACTCTGCTCCACACACACTAACCACGGACTTAAATGTTAATGTAAACAAAAGCTCTGATATTAAAATCCATCCAGCTGACGTGATGCAGGCAGAATATAAAACTCAGCTAGATGAGCGCAGACCCCTGTTGTCAAGCGAAACACCGGTTTCAGTTGTCTCCATGGCGACAGATTTAGAGCGACAGCAAGGACAGCCAATCACACATTGGCATGACGCAGCAGAATTAATCAGTGAGCTTGTGGGCGGGTCTAAGGGTTCAGCTTGAGGAGGCTGCCTCCACATGGTCCTAGTGCCTAACCTGTATCCAAGTATGACAGCTTTGGATGGTAAAATCTGACGGAAGACCGAAAAAAGGGCACTTTGGGCACTTCGGACAAAAGGGGCAGGTGCACAAGCACCCCCCCACCTAATAGAATTTCTTCTGCCTCATCTGAAGGAGGAGGAGTTTGGCAGGCTAGAAATCTATCTAAAATCTCATTATTAGAAGAAAATTCATCATCATCTACTTCAATCATTTCTGAAAGTCCACTCAGATCGAACCAATCCGGTAACACATCACTGTATCCAGACGTATGACTCATGATACAAAGAGAAAAATAAATTTTAAAAACTACTATAAACTTGATGAATGACAAAAAATCCTTGGTCCTCCTCTTCTCTCTCTCTCTTTTAATCCTCACAGAGACAGAACATTGCCCACGATGTTCACAAGCCCGTAGGTAATCTGCAGAAGCATGTAGACCATTTTCATTCTGTTAGTCCTTTGCAGCCGAGTCAGCCGCTGATTCCTCCTCCGACATAATTCTGGATGGAAAAATGGAGAGAGGATGAATGAATCATCATCTTTTAATAAAAACTTTATTAAACACTTTATTCTGATTATTTACTAGGTGTCTGTGTATCAGCGGCAGTAGGGCGTGGAACAGAGTCTTCATCGCTGCTCACCGGTGGCTGTTCTGGCTGTGACGCCACCCCCTCGTCACAGCCATGTTGAGGTGTGGGTGGGGTAAAGTCCTGACTTTCGGCGTATCGCTGCGAGGGGCGTTCCTGATTGTCTCTGTTCCCGCCCTGTCAATCTGGAGAAATAAGATATTTCTTAGCTGAAAGGGATATATCATGTTACTAAATTACGTACAAAAATCACTTACTAAGTTTGTTCAAAGCTCTGTTGAGTTGACTAAATGCATCTTGCGGGGTTGGTGGCAGTGGTGATGTCTCGCGTTCGTGTTCTAATTGAGAAAGAGGTATCTTGCCATCCCATTCACCCTCATCCGACGATAAAACAATTGCGGATAAAAATAGACGTGAAGTCAGTAGATTGATAAAACAATGAAAAGTGGAGTTTGAGTAAATTCTTCCACTTACCAGACATCACGGTGTGTTTCTGAGAAAGAGATCCGAGACGGTTTTTCCCATTACAGTTATACGGTCTTTTTAAAACAAAATCTTGAATGGAAATGGTGCTATTGGACGGTGAGACTGAATACAATTCCTACCTTTTCTAAAACATCACAGTGGAATCTAATACTATTATCTGTTTGTGTGGTGGTGGGGGGGGGGGGGGGGGGGGTGCGGCGTTGTATTTTTTAAGTTGTGTCCATCGGTTCTTCAAAATCCATGCATAACAATGGTTGTACCACAGGAATAAAATCGCCGTTACTATTCAACATATAACGGATGAATGGCCTTGTCCCCGTAACTTGCTCCTTTAAACGTTCATGAAAAATCTGATGCGAGGTTAAGCCGTTCTCATCATTACGTAATTCAAGCGTTGATTTCAGCAAAAGTATGTTTTTCAGATCAAAACTCATTTTGCCTCTCTTGTCTTTGGAAAGGATCTCTAAATAGCACTAGAGGAGAGGGGGTAACTGAATAAAAGGGGACCTGCGTGAGGGGAGTGTCTGAATGTAAGGGGGACGGCACCCCGCGGCTCTGCACCCATCTGATGCGGCTCTCTGTGGTTGTAAAATAATGAATGAATGTTTAAATGAAATGCTTTATATTTTACTGCATTAATTTTATGTCTGTATGCCAATTCTAAATGTAAAGATTGTCTGTGCAAACCTGAACAGGCACGCTTGTGCATAATCATATGTTTTCTGAGCTGAAGAGGATATGAGATTCTGGGGTTCTCCTCAGACAGGGTCCTGGATGCGTTGCCACAGTGGAGACAAGAACAAGCGCTATTCACCCTAAGTTTCATAATCTCTGAGAGACAGGATTTGGAAAGCACTTGCTTCTGTGTGAAGAATCTCCCCTCACGCGCTCTGGTTCTGCGACGCGCTCCGAGCCCCCCCCCCCCCCCCCCCCCCCAACTTGACAGAGCCTAGATTTGCATTCTGAACATTTTGATCATGTTTTAAAAGGAGAGATGTGTGACAAAAGTGGCACCTGCTCTGTAAAACCACTAACAGGGTGAAAAATATTGAAATACTGCTGGCAGAGACAGAGTACAACTTCTGGATCCATTTTAAACACATCATTTTATTGATTATCTTCTGTTGAAAGATAACTTTGATGTGCACAGTGATCGGTATTGGTTGGTGTCACCTGTTGTGATTTATTAAAGCAGCTCTCTGCTGCTGTGGCGGAGGAGGGGAGGAGAGGGTGACCGGATGAAAGGAGTCGTGTGTGTGTGTGTGTGTGTGTGTGTGTGTGTGTGTGTGTGTGTGTGTGGGTCACATTGGAAATAAGGGGTGGCTGAGACAAATGCCTGAATGTGTGTATATTGATGACTTCCCCTGTTGTAAAATGTGTATTTTGAATGGTTCAAAATGTGACACTAAGGAGAGGAGAGGGGTTGAAAGGGATGCCTGTGTGAGTGAGTGAATGAGCGATAGAGGAAGCAAGGGGGTGGGCCAATGAGCTGATGAGACAAATGTCTCTATGGTGACTCCCTTTGTTGTAAATTTAACACTAGGATAAGGAGAGGAGGTGAGGAGTGGGGTGGCTGAGACAAATGTATGTATGGATGCTGAATGGTTTAGAGTCGGTAACCCTGAATTCTGTACTTGTCTTAGAGAAAGTCAGGCATTTTCTGAACGGGGGAAGTGCTTTAAGTGTGTGTGTGTGTGTGTGCGCGCGTGCGCGTGCATGCGTGCGCGTGTGAATTGATAACTTCATTATGAATTCAACACTGAGAAGACTAAGGAGCTCATCGTGGACTACAGGAGGAATGCTGACCCACATCCACCCATCCACATTAAGGGGACGGCAGTGGAGCCGTGTGAGCAGCTTCAAGTTCCTGGGAGTCCACATCTCCGAGGATCTCAAATGGACTACCAACTGCTCCAAACTGGTCAAGAAGGCTCACCAGCGCCTCTTCTTCTTGAGGACTCTGAGGAAGAACAACCTGTCCTCAGACATCCTGGTGAACTTCTATCGCTGCACCATCGAGAGCATCCTGACCAACTGTGTAACAGTCTGGTATGGGAACTGTTCCGCCTCGGACCGGAAGGCATTGCAGAGGGTCGGGAAAACTGCCCAGCGCATCGCCGGAGCACCACTTCCTGCCATAAAGGACATCTACAGGAAGCGGTGTCTGAAAAGGGCTAGGAATAGCATCAGAGACCACAGTCACCCATCACATGCACTGATCACCCTGCTGCCCACTGGGAGGCGCTACAGGAGCCTCCGGACTAAGACCACCAGGTACCGGAACAGTTTCTTCCTAACAGCTGTCAGACTCCTGAACTCTGCCTCCTGACATATGACCCACGTTAAACTCATGGACTGCTTGCATTAACTACAGCCTGTACATACTTATAGTCATAGAATATTCATAACATACTTCATACCGTGTACATTATAACAAACGTAATAGATCCATTTCTGTAATATACTTGCACATCTATATTATTGCTAATATATATTGTAATACATCTATATCACGGCTAAAGCACTTCTGGATGGATGCAAACTGCATTTCGTTGCCCTGTACCGGTACATGTGCAATGACAATAAAGTTGAATTCTATTCTAACTGACACTGCGTGCTGAAACTGATTAATACCTTTTAAAGAGCTGACAATGGTTGGAGGGAGGGATATGGGGTATTACGTATGAAAGGGAGGGGCTGTGGGAACTGGGGTGAGGTATCCTAACACAAAAGCGTTATCAAACCTAACTTGACGTAAAGTGTTGCAGATTGAACACATCAAAGCAGATCATCAATATACATCTTGACAGAAGGGGACTACAATCTATAACTTCATGGGTCATTACACAACAGTCATCAATTCATTTCTTGAAATATGGGGTCATTAAAGGTCATATCACAAAAGGTCATAAAACAATACACCTGTCAAGTTTGACGTAAGGTGGTTTGGGGGAAAGGTCGTAAAGGTCAAAGAACAATAAACCTGTCAAACGGTGTGAGAAAGGGTGGTTTCTTCATCTCTATCATCTCTAATGACAAACAGCACAAACACACACTGATGCTTTCTAGGTATCAGGAGATAATTTAATTCAGTTGTAATGCAGTCTGTGAGATGTTTGCATTTACTGTAAAAGTTTTGACCTGTCAAGTTATGCATGTTGCTTCTCCTGTTGCAGAATTAAAATATTTTTGCAAAATTAAGAGAAATTACAAACGTTGGTGTCATTCAAGACTCTTATTGAGTATCACGATGCATTGTGGGTAAGATATGACATCGATCAATGTTGACCATTGGGAGAGTTCACTTTGGGCGAGTAATGTATAACATCTATTATTTCTGAATACAATCATTATTATTCCAATTATCCCAAAATATGTTGGTCTGTGGGAGGAAACTAGAGAAAACTCAGCTGGGTATTAACTTAGCAGCTGCCTAATGACTGGAGGCAGGTTGTAATCTAAAAATAAGAACGAGCTGTACTGACACGATCACAGGTGTGACAGCTCAGACTCCAAATGGGTAAACATCTGCATCCATTCTACCAAAATCAACACCAGTGTCTGGAAACCGTCCCTAATCAAATGCATGTTTGTGTGTAAGTCAACAGCCGTTTGGCAGCCTGAAGCCTTCAGTAACAGCTGCTCAGAAGAACCAGGCAGGAGTTCTGATGCTCCTCACTAACAGCATCTTCGTGCTGCTCGCTTTTAAGGAAAAATAATAAAATCCTGTTCCTACATTCCATGCTATCGTTCTTTTTTTAAAACACAGAAACGGTTTCGTTACCTGTTTTTTCCCTACGTTTCGCCCGCGGCTGCAGACTTCCTCAGGCTGATGGTGGCGCGTCACTTCCTTCTCCGTTTATCTGCGGGCACCAGCGTCAGCCTGAGGAAGTCTGCAACCGCAGGCGAAACATAGCGAAAAAACAGGTAACGAAACCGTTTCCGTGTTTTAAAAAAGAACGATGGCATGGAATTAGAAACAAGACACAGCAAGAACACACCTAACCTGTTCCTACATGTCTGCTGCCTTTTGTCTTACTGAGAGTTTGAAGTGCAGCAGTTTGACGTCCACCATTGTTCTCTCCTTTTTATAGAAGAACAAGCTGTTTTGACACCACTCTCTCCTACTACTGAGGGTCCTACACTATCTAAAAGCCAAAAGGAGAAACTGAACATTAAAGAGTGGCAGTAATGCTGTATAATTCCTTGAATTGGAAGAACACCAAAGACTAATGATGGCAGGAATATCCAGGGGTGTATTTCTTATTTCCCCCTAATCCTTCTTTGTTACAAATTTCAACAATTCATCTCTTTCTTCCTCTTCACATCATTATCTCCCTTCACTCCCTCATGTTTGTGTCTGCCAGCACATTCCTCTGCACATGTGCTGCTTTCATTCAACCTATTTTCCAATTTCCCTCATTTTCTGTCCTCCAACGCTGTTCCTTTATGCTCATTTACCCCTCGTTCCCCTGTTCAATCAGCCGGCTGATTCAGCTACAGAGAGGAGGTTTTCTGCTTCACCTGCCATCTCATCTCCATAAAAAGTCCAACAACAAATGTGCAGGTCTGGCTGAAGCCAAAGAGTTCAGCTTCAGAGACTATAGGAGACACAGCTCCTCTAAAGTGACAATGTGTAGTTTTTACTGTTCATCTCTGGAAACATCCAGCAAAATGTTGTTGAAAATGAATTAAATTTAGTCCAGTTGTTGAAAAATATTGGCATCTTTGTAACATATAACCATAAAAATTGGGCCTAAATTACATGGGAGTGAGGTCTAAGCATAGACCTGAATACATGGGTGCCCCGTTGGGCGCTGGAGAGCATAGCAGCATCACTGCCATATTGGATGGGTCATTGTTGTTTTACACATTTACTTCTTCACTTGTTGCCAGAGATGAAAGATAGTCTGGTGTGTTTTTCCTGGAGGTTGCACTCTCAGGGATTTTTGACCCTAATGGCCATCCGTTGGTACGGTCTTACTCAAACACAAAAATACTGCTTGCTTGCAGTAATTTCGGTATCTCACAGGGATGAATCCATTTTTCTCCCCAGATTGCTGACTACCTACTTTTGTATGGGCCAAAGAGACGAGGTCAACTTCTGAACATGAACCATCTCTTCTGCTGGGACTGAGTATTATTATTATTATTATTATTATTATTATTATTATTATTAAGTGTAGAAATTTAGAACCCATCCATAATTTAATGTCCTTCAAACAGTCCAGCAGCGAAGAGACAGATCCACCTTCCCCCATTGGAGGGAAAGATAGATCTGGCAGACAAAAATGGAATTTCACATTATGCCGACGAAGGAGGACCCAGTGAGAGAGAAGATAACACTGCAAAAAAGGAGGGGGCCAAGGACAGAGCCCTGTGGCTCACGGCTTTTTTTCTGAAACTACTTTTAACTCTTGACCACATGACTCTGTTGGACTGTGGAAGATTCGACACAGATCAGGGACATTTAACTCAGTTAAAGCTATAAAACTGCTCAGCAACTGCAAATTCTTCTTCTATGATTTAGTTTTGAATCTATTTAAGGACCTTAAAGACAAAACTGGATTATTCGAGGGCCACCATTGCCCCCAGGCTGTATTTAAAAAGGAATGAAGCCACAGAAACCTCACATTCGATACACAGTCAGAATGCAGGATTTGTTTTTTAACGAAACCAATATACATGACAGGACAGATTCTCTTAATCTCACACATTAAATGTTCTGAAATGTTCTGTGATTTCTCCAGGAGTGAGAGGTTAAACAGTAAATTGAGTGTTAAGATCAGCCTTTGTTCCAGCTGATTGATTAGCTGTTAGTTTGTTTAATCAACATCTCCATCTAAGCTGCTTTAGCATGCCTCCTCTGTAAGGTGCTGTACATCCCAGATGTACTTTCTTAAACTGTGTGGATTAATCAGCCTGCTGTGACTGATGCGGTTCTGACCAGCAGCTGGTATTTTCTACACGCTTCACATTTCCACTCACAACAGAGGAGGTCCCATAATAAATCCATGCTGCCAAGCATAAACGATGAGAAATCACCGTTCTAATCGCAGATGGATTTAATTAACTCATTACCTAAAGTGAAACTAACTGAGCTAGTCATCATCTGTGGTACAAATATACTTTTTTTCTGGCTCAGACTTTGGGGATTTTGCTTTGTTATTTGTGAACCTGACACTCCAGATGGTTTGTTACATAAAACAATCTAAGAAATCATTGTTGGAAACTGTATTTAAAAAAAAGAAAGAAAGACAGTCACTTTGAAGATGTACTTGGCAGGAGATGGACGAACACAGATCAGCAGAGTGGAGCCAGATGGTGAAATCAACCCAGAAAGGAAGAAATGAACAAACAATTCTAATAAAAACAACGCAGTCACTTCTGAAACTCACGTTTTCCTCCCAGAACAGAATTGTTATCTGTATGGAACTGTCACAGAGCTCATGCATCTATTCTGATGTTTATTGTATTTTCTTTTCTTTGTGTTATTAAAATGTATTTGAAAAAACATCCCATCTGGAGACAAGCTTTGCAAATTATAGTATAAATGCTGTGGTGTGCAGATTTTATTTGTGCTAAACTTTTATGCAAGTTAACAAAAACAAAAGACATTAATTAACTTCATACATGTTGTTTGTGTGCACTCAGCCTTTTTATCTTGGCTATTTTGCTATAAATTTGATTCAGTATTATTTCTAATATTTACAATTGCCATCTTAACAAAAACTTAAATGATTCATTATTTTAAGTTTGTCATTTTTTTCATTCTAGTTCTGCTCTACGGCACCCCGGAGGGGACATAAAAGGAAAAGTAATGTACAGGAAGTAATTAATTTTTATTACATTACTTATGTAAGTGTGGGTGTGTTTGTAAAATATCATCACCTTGATCTCGTAGATCTTCAGCTTCCTCTTGATGCTGGTGTTCTCCCGCTCCAGGCTGCCCAGCCTCGTTTTGATTTCCTGATAGGCGGAGATGAGGGCAAAGTGTGAGGCAGAGTACACGTCATCGGCTGGAAGGGGCGAGGCTCTCCACGCCATGCTGCCGCAACCATCCTCCTTTAGGTCTCCAGCGTCACCGCCTCCCCCCAGCAGCCCCAGCTCCCCTCCACCAAAAAGAGACTGCATCGCTCAGAGCCTCAAACTGGAAGCAGACACAAACAGTTCTGTATTAATTATTGAATCACCAGAATGTTTCCATTCAGTTAAACTCTAAAAATAACAGAGTTTCAAAGTGCTGCCAGACAGTCTGAAGGAGTCCCGGAAACATCCGTCAGCTCCTCAAACAGCCAGAAACAGACTCCTGGTGCATGAAGAGTAAAATATTCAGAAGCTATGTGTTTTCAGACGACGAGACTGGGATCACTGCTGTGGTGAGGGATATTTAAAAGTGCAGAATTAGCTACGTGATTGTAGCTTTGGGGCTAACACGCATAAGAAATCACCTGTTTATGAATTTATTCTTTTATTTTTGTAAACAAACAAAGCAGCTCTCCAGCACACGTGTAGCAGATGTGTTTTAACTTGACATAGTCAACCTTTCGTCAACAAGGGGAGTAAAATTACTTTATGATGCATTTTATTAATGTATGAACATTTTTATTTTAAAAAAACATCTTTATTTTGTGTTGTTGTTGTGAGTGATTTGTGACGTATTACTTCAACTGTACCTCTTGGATGGGATTGATGGAACGCTTTACGGATTGAATTATGAAACGTTAAAAACATGTTAAAACCCTTAACTAGATCAAAACAAAACAAAAAACGTGACCAGTTTTCCCTTCTTTTTGTGGTTTAGGTCACTATCTGACTTTTTACAGTTTACTGAACCCTAAAATCTTTAACCGTTAAACCTGCAGCCCAACTTGGTGTATGCACGTAAACCATGAACTGAAAATAAATGACAAACAGATAAATAAATAAATGAATGAATATAGAATGTTGGAATAAAAAAATAATCATTACATTTTTATAGTATTTTAGAATATTATAAACTTACACTACTGTAACGTGAGGAAGTGTGGGTTTTCTGTCACAAAGCTGGTGTTTGACCCGACTGGGTCGCTCAGAACTTTAACACACAGATTGGGACCTTTGCAGACATGAAGTCTGCGAGAGTCTGGAAGAAGCCATAACATCAGCCACCTGCAGCGTCCAGAAGACGTGTTTCCATGAGTTGTACCCAGACCAAGTCAAAACATAAAGTTTAAACTTCCTTTTCTTGTTTTGAATGTTAAAAGTTTAATCATCAATTTGCTCATTATAAATGTGTTTTAATCAAATGAATGACTATTATGCTTTGGGTAATTATAAGAGATTTAATTAATCCATTCTTAATTACATGTTAATGTTTGAGGATGTTTGTTACCGACCTTCACACACACTCAAGCACACACCCACACACAGATTCTCACAGTAAACTCCAAAACACATTTGCTGACGCACACGTTTGCTTTGAGAAGAGAAAGGCTTTTGGTAAGTTTCAGTCTTATGATTTCAGTTCGTGCTTGACAACGAAAGAGAGAGGACCTGAAGAAACCGAAGGGGGGCAGAGCCGGTTGGCTCGTTTCTCCCCCCCCTCTCACGCTGTTCCTGACAAGCCAGACAGAATAGCTGAATCGCAACTTCTAACGCAGACTCATACAGAGTCTTTGATTTCTGAGTGAATTAACTTAAGAAAGCGCATCGACAAAACGCTTTACCATCAATGTGTACCGAGGGCAACTCTGGACCGGTTCGCGGTGCATCTTTGTCTTCCTTGCCAGCCAAGGTGCCCTGGATGAAACCTCATCCTAAGGTGACGTCCCAGGTCCAACAGGGGGTCCGATTTTCGGTGAGGCAGAACACGACAGATAGCGTTTTGATGCATCTTTTCCAACTAAACCTAAGTTTATTCAAACCATCACTTTTCACTCAGACACCTGTTTCTTCCTGAAGCAAAATCAGATGCACACACGCATTCATCTCACCTCATCACATCACTCTCAATCTTCATTCACCAACAGAAGGTCTATTTGAGCAAGAACAGCATATCAACTGTTAAAGATTGTCCCACAAAGTTGCCAATGTTGATTGTTATTCCCATGTTTGTCAATTTCAAAATCATTAGTCTAGTTTGAAGAATTAAAACTTTTAATTTTGAAACTTGTTTGTTCATTGAACTGAAACACAGACACAGATATTATCGTCAGTTTATCGATGAAAACAACCTTTGAGTCTTCTTAACAATATAAAATTTGGTTATTGATTTATTAAAAATTAATATTCCGAATTAATACGTAGCATGGTTCCTCTTTCATAAAAGAGCCTAAAACCACAACGCTACAATATGGCGAGCGTATCCAGACTTCTATATCTGATTTCAAACATCTAAAAGCTAATTTTTCACAAGTTACGCCTTTTCTCTGTGTTTCACTTTGATGTCTTATTTTGGAGAAAAACGGAAATTATTCCGCTGAAGTCACTCTTCCGGGAGACGTCCTGGTGGAAACTTGACGGTGGAAGTTCTCCTATCTCAAATTGTACGCAAATTACAGACAGTACTTTGATTTATCCCATCTTCGCCTTCGGAGCGAACGTGTGAGTTGTGCTTTTGACTAAATTCTGCCCATTTTGACGCGACGCCGCGCCTCTAATCTCTTCAGGTCGGAAAGCTACAATTCCGCTCTGAAACTTGCTGGGTGAGCTACCGTGAGCGGCTTATCCTCAATCCTAAAATTAAGTCTAAATTATCCGAATTCTCGGACACCCTTCGTCTCAGTGTGTTGACACTGTGGGCGAGCTATTGTGGAAGATATTTCCGTTACATAGGCGACTGATCAACGCCGAATCTGTCCTGGACGACTCGTTAGCAACTACCGTTAGCTTCACTTGCTAGGTAACCGCTGTGATTCGGGTTATATATGCCGGAGGCGTTACTGCATCCAGATTGCGTACGCTTTAAAGTCCGTTTAAGCAGCGGAGCGAGATGCCTGCTTGGTTAGTCGGGCAAATTTAAGTCTGGTCGCTACAGACGAAAAGCTAGACCTAGCCGGAGAGCTAAGCTAGCGAGCCACAGTTAGACAAAAAAGGGAACGCGTCCCAATAAATTGTCAAACCATTTCTGACACAATAAGTTCAGTGTCCTCACAAAACCCGCATTGGCGGTGGTTCTTGTAAATCACTACAGTGTGTAGAATCGACATTTTGCTACGTGGCCTTCCGTCGGAGTAAAACAGAAGTTTGTCCGTGGAATACCATCACGTCCGCGTAGGTTTTTTTTTTCTTTCGGGGCCGGTGAACGGGTCAGCATTCACAGCCTCCATTGCTCAGTTCCATGCCATTTTCTTCCATCTTGTGGTGAAGTTGTGTACATTCCTTTCTCTATCAACACCTCCTTGTTTTACCCTGTGTCATAAAGTTAAGTTGGGCTACGGGCGGTCCTTGATTGTGAGATGAATTAAGGATCTGTACCGGGCTCATACGTCGACTCAGGAGGTAAAAACGCGAGTTGCTCTGTTTTAATGTGAGATGGACGAGACACAACAAAATCTTTCTTGTACTGTTACACCTGGTGTAAGGTTCTCTGACGTTCTGCTTCCAGAACATGCCAAGACGCAGGAGACTGTTTACCGGCCGGGCCACGCTGGTCCTGCCGCCCGCCCGAATGGGCCCGCATTAGTCGGGTGCCACCGGTCGGGCGCGGTGGGGACTAGTGGCAGCGGTTCGGTGCCAGCTGCTCTGGGTCGGAGGTGGTTCTGGTTTGCACTTCATGACGTGAATTCAAGCAACATGCTGTTTACAGTCATAACGCTTTTTCTTTACCTTTATTTCTTCCAGGGGGTCAAAAACCCACCATCGATATCAAGGTTTGAAATAAACAACACTTTCTCTGCTACTTTTAAGCTGAATAAATCTCTTGAGCCTATGGTTAACCTCTCTGACAAACAGGTGGTGCTTAACCCTTTGGTTCCTGATGTATTTTCTCTTTCCACTATGTTAGGGGCTGACCATCTCTCCAGCATGGGTGTGAATTTCTCAGGCTGTGACCCGCCGCTTCAGTCAGAGGTCTGCTTTAATCGTCAGTCCGCCTCATGCACAAACCGGCTTGTTTCTCGGGGCGCGATGAAAACATCAGCCGCCGTGAAGCATTTTTGGCCTCCAAACGTGGCCATCTTACCATTTGAAGGGTTTGCGCACGGACATCTTGACCTTTCTGTAAATGACCTTGTCATTTCTCAGTTTGTGACCTCTGCTAATACGGTGGCCAATTCTTTTCTCCTTTCACAGGGGTGTGACTTTGTCTCTGGCCTCTGTGTTCTATTTCCTGTGATTTCTCTTTCAGGTGACCACAACGGCGCAGTAAAACCTGCGGTTTCCAGTAGTCAAGTGGTCAGTGGCGATATTGAGGGGGCTCCGGTGGTTGCTGCGGGCATCTCTCTCACGGGCCCGGGGGCGCCACCCGGCCCGGGAGCAGTAGGTGCGTGCAGTGATGCCCTGCTCGGGGCCCCGCCTGACAAAGGGGGGGTGCCGAGTGGCACTGAGTTTTCAGTTGCGGACTTCAGGCTGTTCGGGGGAAACCCTCCTCCGAGCGGTTGGGTCATTGGCGAATTCGACACTGACCTTCCATCGATTCAGCTGACAACTTTGATCTCCGACCCGGAGACAGGTGGTACACCTTCTAAAGGGCGGAATTCTAGTCAGTCTGTAAATACTCTGGTTAAACCGGGTTTTTCTGATTCTGTGTGGGAACCTCCATCATTCTTGGGAATAAAGTATTCTTGGCTTCAGTTTTCAGGGCAGAACATGTTCCTTTCGATAGTGTCATGTCTGTATCTGATTCTAAACATGGCTAGGTTTGCTTTGACACCCGTGACACAACCATCCTTGGATCACTCCTTTTCAGAACCTCCTAGTCCGACACCTCCAGGTCTGTGGACATCTGAACACCTACTCTTTCAGCACGATTCAGGTGACGCTGTGCATCTTCTTGGTAATAGGGCTTTTATGAGCTTAGGAACTGTTCTTTGTTATGCTTCTCCTGTCTCACAGACGCGGCATAAGTTTGAGAAACAAAAGGGGGGTGGGGAGCCTCCTCCTGCTTTGCGAGCATCATTTTCGCATCTCCAGTTCACTCCAATTTCTGATCACAACAAAGTCGCCTCC